TCAGTTTCGAAAACATAGTTGCACCTTTGGCAAGAACAGCTTCCTTGACTGCTGTTTTCTTGGCCACAATAGCAGCGATGGTTGATTGGGGTTTTGTGTACAACCTGGCCAGCTCGGAGACACGCACTCCACTTTCATACTTAGCAATGATCTCTTTCTTCATATCCATAGTAATTCTCACCCTTTTTGCTGTAGGGTTGGCACTAGAAGCTTTCTTGGGGCCCATGGTGACTTATTTTGCAGGTGCAATCACTAAAAAGGCTGTGATAATATGAAATGTTCCGATTGTATGCTTGGAAGCGACCGCGGTGGCTGGATGGCTTGTAAACACTGGCCAGAAGTGGACGCGTCTCAGATGGAACAAATAGTGTTGGTCGAGTTTTTTAGCGCTAGTCGAGACAAAATTTTTGCGTTAAAATGTATCACTGGTCAGATTTATCGTTAATCAATGCCATCGTTGGTCGAGGGTCCACTGTACATATTTTGGTGAAAGGAATATACAGACGAAGTAAACACTAACCCGTGTTTGACTTTGTTTTTGATTTCTTGGTTTGATCCTTGTCTTGAGACTTAAGTTACAGCCAGGTACAACAGTCCTTGGAATTGTGGACCTGCATTCATAATATTTGGGTTCCCTACTAGGAGTTACCCCTACTCAATGAGGAAAAATTCATTCCTACACACCTATAAATCTTCATAGCTTTTAATGATTTAACAGGCCTCTCCCCATTATAAAGGTAGAATTCACTTTATCTACATACCACTCTCTCTTCTTTGTTACAATCTTAATCTTTAAGGTAATAACTTTTTATGATTTAGATCAAGCAAGGTTTATTATCAAAGCCCTCAGCTGGATCTGAAGGTCCACGGCAACGGTCTCCGCCAGCAACACTGTCATCAGCCAAGGCAACACAGGTGCTGTCTGTTTATAACCTGTAAGTTTTTTCCATAATTAATGTCTAAGGTCATACACTAATTCAGAACCATGAGAGAAAGAGCATACAAGAGAGAGACATCCCCCTACCTAACTTCTTTATTTATAGGACTACTCTTGCCTAAGACAACTCTCATGGCTCCCTGATACAAAGACAATATATTTAACTAGAACTGGTGGAATTCAAACATTCAGTCACGTCCTGTATATCAAAGACTGGTTTACCAAATTGTACACTTTTTTAACCCTTTGACTGTTTCGGTCATATATATACGTCTTATGAGCCACCGAGTTTGATGTAAGTATACTCATAAATTCTAACGGCTTCAAATCAAGCAGGAGAAAGCTGGTAGGTCCACATATGAGAGAATGGGTTTGTGTGGTCAGTGTGCACCATATAAAAAAAATCCTGCAGCACGCAGTGCATAATGAGAAAAAAAACTCCGACCATTTTTTTAATTAAAATGCCAACTTTGTGGTCTATTTACATATAGTATTTATGGTTGTATTCTCATTTTCTTGGTCTCATTTGATAGAATGGAAAACATATTATAGAAATAGATGTGATTTTGATTGGTTTTACTATGAAAAGAACCTTGAAATGGAGCTCAAAGTAGAGGAAATGTTTGATTTTTGCTGATGTTCAAAAGTAAACAAATAATGTCATTTTCCAATAAATGTCCAACTAGTCATTCTAATATGCAGTCATGAAAGGGTTGACATTATTTATACAATTATTACAATAATGCAGTAGTCTGCTTAACAGTAAATCTTTTGTTTTTTGTTTGAATAAAAATTCAAAATAGAAAGCAAGAGTAATATCAGAGGGGCCTGGAAACGTGACTGATGAACAAAGAAAATGTTATTTTAGAGCCAGAAATGTCTGCATTGTTCATTCTGGACCCTATTTTGAAATTGTCATATTTTTTAATTTTCGTGAAATTGGCCAAATTGCAAATTTCTGACCACGTTATTGGGTAGTTGAAATTGGTAAATGGGCAGTTTCTTGTATTCAATCGATAGAAAAAATGGAGTTCTAAAGAAATAGCTATGAGTTTGGTCGACTGGAACAATGGAATTAGCCGAAAATAGGGATCAAAGTGAGCAAAATCTCCGATTCGTAAATATCGCTGAGGTCGTTAACTTCGCGAGAGCATAATTCCATCAGTTTTCCATCAAATTTCGTTCTTTTGGTGTCATTACAACTGGGAAAAGATTCTCTATCATTTCAAAAGAAAACAATAATTTTTGGGGGGAGAAATCCTGCGATACCAAGAGACACCTCAGGATTTGGGGTTGCGACAGTCGAGGGGTTAACATCCAAGAAAAATGCAAACAGCATAAAATTTTCCTTGTTGTCACTAATTATAGCATCAAGTAGTAACACATTTTTCACTATTCCTCAATGGGCATAAATCCCACTGAGCAGGATGGAGTGGGACCCACTATGCATAATTATATACTTTAATCATAATAAGTTAAAGACCTAAAATCACCCAGTTCCTCTAGGTTGACTTTCTTTGACAAGAATGTGGTTCTTGCTTTCCATAACTCAACAGAATGACATCATGCAAACAACTGCAAATTGAAAATAGATATCCAAATGGCTTCACATCATTAACCATAAAGCCACTGCATCCAGCAGCAGAGTTGGCAATCCTACATGTCAAAATTTACATCTATTAACTTTATACCTCTCCTGAAGTTCCAGTGTATGAGCTTAGCCAGAAATCTCTCAATTCACTGTCATCTCCCAACTCACTGTCATCTCTCAAGTCACTGTCGTCTCTCAAGTCACTGTCATTCACTATCCTCATGCCTTTTATTCCTTGGATTTTCCAAGTGCCATCAAGACCGTCCTTGGCATACTTATCTTCAATACACATCTTTCGCAGGTCATAATATACTCTTCTTGCTCTCTGGTTCCTCTCATCTTCAGGATCAAAGCAGCCTTTTTTCCCATCATTATACAGTAGGGCCCCACTTTGCAGAACTTCACATTATGGCATTCTGCTAATACAGACATTTCAGATTATGACCAAAACTCTCTACATGGCTCCCATCCCCCCCCCCACCTGACTTTCTAAAATAGTCAGTGTGTGCCACCTGATTTGTTTACATTCTCCATGACCACAACTCTCCATTATGTCTGGAAACTTTCCAAAAATTTCAAGTGTTTTAAAGTTATTTCATATTTTACATATACTCTGATAATTATACTTCTTTCTTTCTTTCAGCACACCAGCCGTATCCCACCGAGACGGGGCGGCCCAAAACAAAAAACGAAAGTTTCTCCTTTTTTTTTTTTTTTCAACAAACTGGCCGTATCCCACCGAGGCGGGCTGGCCCAAAAAGAAAAACAAAAGTTTCTCTTTTTTTAAATTTAGTAATTTATACAGGAGAAAGGGTTACTAACCCCTTGCTCCCGGCATTTTAGTCGCCTCTTACAACACGCATGGCTTACGGAGGAAGAATTCTGTTCCACTTCCCCATGGAGATAAGAGGAATTAAACAAGAACTAGAAAGAAAATAGCAGAAAACCCAGAGGGGTATGTATGTATATATACGCTTGTACATGTATGTGTAGTGTGACATACGTGTAAGTAGAAGAGCAAGACGTACCTGAAATCTTGCATGTTTATGAAACAGAAAAAAGGACACCAGCAATCCTACCATCATGTAAAACAATTACAGGCTTTCGTTTTACACTCACTTGGCAGGACGGTAGTACCTCCCTGGGTGGCTGCTGTTTACCAGCCTACTACATACCTAGAATAATTATACTTAAGCTGTTTAAAGGTAGAAAGTTGAAAGTGAACACAGATGATAAGAGTAAGGTAATGATGGTATCAAACAATTTAGATAAAGACAAATTGGATATCACACTGGAGGGAAGGAGTATGCAAGAAATGAAGGTTTTCAGATATATGGGAGTTGACCTCTCAGCAGATGGGTGTATAAAGGATGAGATTAACCATAGAACTGATGAAGGAAGAAATGTGAGTGGTGCGTCGAGGTATCTGTGGAGACAAAAAACGTTATCCATGAAGGCAAAGAAGGGAATGTATGAAAGTATAGTGGTACTAACACTCTTATATGGGTGTGAAGCTTTGGTTGTAAATGCTGCAGCGAGGAGGCGGCTGGAGGAAGTGGAGATGTCCTGTCTAAGGGCAATATGTGATGTAAATATTATGCAGAAAATTCGAAGTGTGGAAATTAGGAGGAGGTGTGGAATTACTAAAGTATTAGTCAGAGAGATGAAGAGGGGTTGTTGAGGTGGTTTGGTCATTTAGAGAATGGAAAAAGTACAATGACTTGGAAAGCATATAAATCTGTAGGGGAATGAAGGCAGGGTAGGGGTCATCCTCAAAAAGGTTGGAGGGAGGGGGTAAAGGAGGTTTTGTGGGCGAGGGGGCTTGGACTTCCAGCAAGCATGCGTGAGCGTGTTAGATAGGAGTGAATGGAGATGAATGGTTTTTGGGACCTGACGAGCTGTTGGAGTGTGAGTAGGATAATATTTTGTGAAGGGATTCAGGGAAACCAGTTAGCCAGACTTCAGTCCTGGAAATGAAAAATACAATGCCTGAACTTTAAAGTAGGGGTTTGGGATATTGGCAGTTTGGAGGAACTTCTAAACTGTTGTATCAGAGAGCCTCTGCAAAGACAGTGATTATGTATGAGTGATGGTGAAAGTTCTTTCTTTCATTTTGGGTTTTTTTCTTTTTGGGTCACCCTGCCTCAGTGGGAAATGGCCGACGTGTTCAAAAAAAAAAAAATACTAGAAAGACCTTCACTGTCTAAACGAGGAGAAATATCAAACACTTTACCTTAAGCAGCAACTTCATCGAGTAAGAGACCATGAAACATGCATCAGCAGAAAACAAAAGCCATGAAAATCCCTGCCTTATTAATGCAAAATGATGTACAGGGTTTTTAGTCAGGCAAGCACCCTATGGAGAGCAGCAGCACCCCTCTCAGACATGAGGGGTCCCTATTCCTAATGTTGGCCTGGCCCTCCAGTTCTCATGATGCTGGACCATTCCAGCAGTTCTTAGCTACAACATACCTTAAAGAACCAGTGTCTGGAGTGTTCTGAGTTGGACTGCGCTAGATCAAACAGCTCCACAGTGGTTGGGTTGCGTTGTATCTTCGTCTTGAACAACTCAGTGTAGTACTCCAGGTCCCACTCATCAAATGCCAAGCCTGCATCACCAGTAACAAAGCTTTAGAAACTCTTCATAGACTGAAAAATTTATGTGCACTATATGCAATTCTGGAATAAAATTTTTTTTTTAGTCTACAAAATGTATATTTACAAGCAAACCTTGCAAATGCCTGCAGTGTGTAAGCTTAGTGTACAGTTGACCACATGGAAGATGAGGTGAATTAGGACCAATAGAGATACGTGGTAACTCCTCAATGTAGTAAACATTTATCATGAATCACTACAGTGTCCACAAAATTAGCATTGCAAAAGATGATCATTGGTAGACGAGCTGTCAATTTCTGCTATACAGTGGACCCCTGGTTTACGATCAGCTCCCAATGCGACCAATTATGTAAGTGTGTTTATGTAAGTGCGTTTGTACATGTATGTTTGGGGGTCTGAAATGGACTAATCTAATTCACAATATTCCTTATGGGAACAAATTTGTTCAGTAATGGCACCTGAACATATGTCTGGAATGAAATAATATCATAAACCGGAGGTCCACTGTATTAGTCTAGTGTGTCTTAGTTAAGTGCCTGCAAGTAAGTATGCCAGGGAAATTATACTAATTCTGATCAATTTCCTCTGATGAAGAGTGTACAAACCAATAATAATAGTTGTATGACAGAGTAATATTGGTTAATAAGCGTAATACTTCTATCCCTTTGCTCTTCCTCTTTTATTAAAGAATGTTAACCTAGCATGCTATCTACCTGGAGGGTGCTCCAGAGGTCAATGCTTCCATGGCACATTCCATGACCAGCCCCTGCAATGGATCAGGGCCTAATTAACCAGGCTGTTCCTGCTGACCACACACAATCCAACATACGAGCCACAGCCTGGCTGATCAGGCATGCTGCTCAGTTAAAACTTTGGTGAACTATAAATGTACCTTCAGTAGGAGAAACAGCATGTGCTTACTGCTTGTCTGCTGCAACCAGCACAATAACAATTTATTGACTTCTTAGTAAATTAAGGCTTAATAACCATAACCATAACCACTGTGACTTACTTCCACTAAGTAAATTTGGTTCTTTTCCCCGGTAAGTGATCTACAAGTTAGTTAACACCCAGGTACTTATTACTGCTAGCTCAACATGGACAATTAACCCATAAATGGTCTAAATGTATTACCTGGAGTTTACCTGGAGAGAGTTCCGGGGGTCAACGCCCCCGCGGCCCGGTCTGAGACCAGGCCTCCTGGTGGATCAGAGCCTGATCAACCAGGCGTTGCTGCTGGCTGCACGCATATACCTTTTTTCAACATTTGATAGTATGTAAAAAAAGTAGATCATCTTTTTTTTTTTTTTTACATTTGAAAACGTGTAAAAAAGTTTGATCTACTTTTTTTTTTGTTATATTTGAAAATATGTAAAAAAAATGTAGATCTACTTTTGGAGCACTACGCATGTGAACGTAGATCTGCTTGGACCGTTTACGGGTTAACATGAGGAGACTGTACTAACAAGCAGAGTCACTGCAGGATCAAACCCAGCTGGTTTTCAAACTGCAGGTCTTCTTCAGTCAAACACAGAGGAGGCAGCAGAAGCAGTAGATATGTAAAGGCAATATAATCAGTCCATCACCCTGGAAGGCAGTTTTGAGGTGGTCAGTCCCTGACCCTGGAGAAAAGTTCTGCTGCATAGTTTGGAACAATATTGCTGAACATAGTCTGCAACATTGTTCAAGCATTATGTGGGAAAAAGTCTTGAAATAAAGATGCCTAACTGTTGCACATGTCTTACTTCCCATATAAACTTTCTTATCAAAGGTCACAGCAGCATGAAGTAGAGTCAAGCACGTGCTCCCATGAGTTAAGTACAAACAATAATGGTGCATCACCTCACCACAAGCAACAAGTTACGAACTCATGTTCACCTAAAGACTGCTATTTTAAAGAGTATGGAAAGCCACTTTCTTTTAAATCCAAGGTATAATTACATTTAGTTGGGGTGAATGTCAGGTACTAAAGTGTTGGCAGACAATGTATATCAACAGTCAGTGCCTCAGCATTCACCTCAACTCACTGGTATCAGTTTTATCAAAAAACAAATATATTTTACAAGTTAGACATGTACTTACTGACTCGCCTATCATGTAGGGGGATGTTGATAGTACTTTACTGTTGTTTTCTATGTAGATCTACCCACTAGCATGCAACACTCACCCACTACATGCAACACTCACCCACTAGCATGCAACACTCACCCACTAGCATGCAACACTCACCCACTAGCATGCAACACTCACCCACTAGCATGCAACACTCACCCACTAGCATGCAACACTCACCCACCAGCATGCAACCCTCACCCACCAGCATGCAACACTCACCCACCAGCACGCAACACTCACCCATCAGCACGCAACACTCACCCACTAGCATGCAACACTTACCCACTAGCATGCAACACTCACCCACTAGCACACAACACTCACCCACTAGCATGCAATACTCACCCACTAGCATGCAACACTCACCCACTAGCATGAAACACCCACCCACTCGCACGCAACACTCACATACTACCACGCAACACTCACCCACTACCACACAACACTCACCCACTACCACACAACACTCACCCACTAGCATGCAACACTCACCCACTAGCACACAACGCTCACCCACTAGCATGCAACACTCACGCACTAGCATGCAACACTCACCCACTAGCACACAACACTCACTAGCACGCAACACTCACCCACTAGCATGCAACATTCACCCACTTGCATGCAACACTCACCTACTAGCATGCAACACCCACCCACTAGCATGCAACACTCACCCACTAGCACATAACACTCACCCACCACCACCCAACACACCCACTACTACGCAACACTCACCCACGACCACACAACACTCACCCACTAGCCCGCAACACTCACCCACTAGCACGCAACCCTCGCCCACTAGCACACAATGCTCACCCACTAGCATGCAACACTCACCCACTAGCACACAACACTCACCCACTAGCATACAACACTCACCCACTAGCACGCAACCCTCACCTACTAGCATGCAACGCTCGCCCACTAGAACACAACCCTCGCCCACTACCATGCAACACTCACCTACTACCACACAACACTCACCCACTAGCATGCAACACTCACCCACTAGCATGCAACACTTACCCACTAGCACCCACTCACCCACTAACATGCAACACTCGCCCACTAGCACACAACCCTCGCTCACTACCACGCAACTCACCTACTACCACACAACACTCACCCACTACCACGCAACACTCACCCACTACCACACAACACTCACCCACTACCACACAACACTCACCCACTACCACGCAACACTCCCCACTTCACGCAACACTCACCACTATCACGCAACACTCACCCACTAGCATGCAACACTCACCCACTAGCATGCAACACTCACCCACTAGCATGCAACACTCACCCACTAGCATGCAACACTCACCCACTAGCACGGAATACTCACCCATAGCACACAACACTCACCCACTACCACGCAACACTCACCCACTAGCACACAACACTCACCCACTAGCATGCAACACTCACCCACTAGCATGCAACACTCACCCACTAGCATGCAACACTCACCCACTAACACATCACTCACCCACTAACACATCACTCACCCACTAACACATCACTCACCCACTAACACATCACTCACCTTCTACCACACAACACTCGACCACTACCACACAACACTCACCCACTATAACACAACACTCACCCATTGCTTTGTTAGCTTCTTGCAATGCTTGCTTGCCCTTCTGCAGTACCAGCACTGTACTCCAGGGTTGTGTTTGTACATCTTGTTCTAAGGTGTTGAGTGGAGTGTTGTACTCCATCTCTGTCATAGGGTCATGCAGTGACGACACTACCTGAACACAAAAAAGATGAAGATTTTATTTCTTTGCAAAGGTTATACAGTGGACCCCTGGTTTACGATCAGCTCCCAATGCGACCAATTATGTAAGTGTATTTATGTAAGTGCATTTGTATGTGTATGTTTGGGGGTCTGAAATGGACTAATCTAACTCACAATATTCCTTATGGGAACAAATTCGGTCAGTACTGGCACCTGAACATACTTCTGGAATGAAATAATATCGTAAACCGGGGATCCACTGTAATGCATAATTACAATTTTGATTTGTTCCATACAAAGAAAGCCACTATCATGCTGGGGCATTTCAGCCAGACTAAACCTAATGCTTATAGACATATACAGAAAGGTAAATTTTAATTATACACTGTTTTCCTTATTACAACAGAGGTACCTAGTGGTTTACAGTAATTAAATTTATACTCGAGATGAAGTAAATATTAAAATTACAGTATCACAATTTAGCACAATTTACAAAAACAAGATTGAAACAATTTTAGGTTTGAAATAATGCTTCATTAATTGAGCAAACATAAATTATTTAGGATTTTTTTGAGTTCCTGGTAGGTGCTAAAGTACAGTAGGGCCCCACTTATATGGCAGGTTAGGTTCCAGTCTACCGCCATAAAGCGGAAAACGCCATAAAGTGGAACACCCTTTTTTTCCTCTTATAAATGCATACAAATACTAGATAACAAGTTTACACTAACATATATTAAGTTAGCAACAGAACTAGGCATCAAAAAACAATAAAAAAGTACAATACACACATAGTGCACTCATTACTTACCTTAAATATTTATAGTCTTAATCTAGGGTGAGATGAGTAGTATTTATTGTAAGAAATCAAGTGTGGTATGTATGGTAATCAGCCGGGCTACCATACCAGGCCACCCCACCTACACATAATATTCTATTACATTTAAGCATCCCAGAGCGATAAAATGCATATACAGTTCACTCATTACTTACCTTAAAATATTTCTAGTCTTAATGTAGGGTGAGACAAGTAGTATTTATTGTAAGAAATCAAGTGTGGTATGTATGGTAGTCAGCCGGGCAACCATACCAGGCCACCCCACCCACACATATATTCTATGATATGTAAGCATCCCAGAGCGATAAAATGCATATACAGTTCACTCATTACTTACCTTAAAATATTTCTAGTCTTAATGTAGGGTCAGGGGTGAGTAAACGAGATAAAACGAATAAATGAGAGAGAGAGAATGAGTACATGAGAGAGGACAGGCGCAGAGTTATGTAAACAAACCAGGTGAAGGTAAGTTTTGTAAACAAAGTGCACACATCTGGTTTGTGTACAAGTTACATTGTATACAAGTTGTCTCTACATTGGTACCGTAGAATAAATAAAGAAGAGCACTCCCGTTCTCATGAAACACCATTTTTAGAAGCAATGATGCTCTGAGTGAAGGCAATGGAAATAAGTCACTCTGTCTGACTTTTTTGGGTTATCCTAGGTTCTCTACACATATGCTGTTATGTATGATAATCTATGTAACTGTATTTGTGTATACCTGAATAAACTTACATATATACGAAAGGAATAATTTTCTACAGTTACCCCCAGTAACACATTTTCTCTTATGGTAGATTAGAGAAAATGTTATTGTTGCCATCACTTGTACAAGTTATCTGGCTACGACATCTCATATTTATGTTTATTTATTTTACTGTGGGGTGTATTTATCACATTTATATGTTATGCATCATGTTTATTAAATAATTTTGAAAAAATATCATAGATGTGTATATTAACGTAATATACGACATTTAAATGACTCGGTGATTATTATTATCATTACTAATATGACATCTTGAGATATAAGACACTGATTTTAATGTGTACCTACATGCCAGCACAGTATGTAAGTTTATTTAGGTACAGGTATACGTAAGTATAATTATCAGAGTATATATAAAATATGAAATAACTTTTAAAAACACTTGAAATTTTGGAGTTTCCAGACATAATGGAGACTTAGTGCTTACAGATCTCACGGAGAATGTAAACAAACAGGGTGGGGCGCGGTGACCGTATTAGAAAGTCAGGTGGGGGGAGCCATTTAGCGAGTTTTGGTTATAATTTGATATGACCGTATTAGTGGAACACCGTAAAGCAAAATGCCGTAAACCAGGGCCCTGCTTTATAGTGATTGTTTGGTTAATTTTGGGAGAGGAAGTGATTTCTAAGTAGGATCCTTAACTCTTAAACGGTTCAAACGTATATATACGTTTTTTTCAACATCTAAAAGTATGTAAAAAAATGTAGATCATCTTCTTGTTTTGTTTAATATATTTATAGATGGGGTTGTAAGAGAAGAAAATGCTAGGGTCTTGGCAAGAGGCGTGGAGTTAAAAGATAAACAATCACACATAAAGTGGGAGTTGTCACAGTTGCTCTTTGCTGATGACACTGTGCTCTTGGGAGATTCTGAAGAGAAGTTGCAGAGATTGGTGGATGAATTTGGTAGGGTGTGCAAAAGAAGAAAATTGAAAGTGAATACAGGAAAGAGTAAAATTATGAGGATAACAAAAAGATTAGGTGATGAAAGATTGGATATCAGATTGGAGGAGAGAGAAATGGAGGAGGTGAATGTATTCGATATTTGGGAGGGGACGTGTCAGCGGATGGGTCTATGAAAGATGAGGTGAATCATAGAATTGATGAGGGGAAAAAGGGTGAGTGGTGCACTTAGGAGTCTGTGGAGACAAAGAACTTTGTCCTTGGGCAAAGAGGGGAATGTATGAGAGTATGTTTTACCAAACGCTCTTATATGGTGTGAAGCATGGTGTTTGAATGTTGCAGTGAGGAGAAGGTTTGGAGGCAGTGGAGATGTCCATGTCTGAAGCAATGTGGGGTGTGAATATAATGCACAAATTCGTAGTTTGGAAGTTAGGAGGAGGTGCGGATTACCAAAACTGTTGTCCAGAGGGCTGAGGAAGGGTTGTTGGGGTGGTTCGGACATGTGGAGAGAATGGAGCGAAACAGAATAACTTCAAGAGTGTATCAGCCCTGTAGTGGAAGGAAGGCGGGGCAGGGGTCGGCCTGGGAAAAGGGTTTGGAGGGAGGGGGTAAAGGAGGTTTTGTGTGCGGGGGGCTTGGACTTCCAGCAGGCATGCGTGAGCGTGTTTTGATAGGAGTGAATGGAGACACATGGTTTTTAATACTTGACGTGCTGTTGGAGTGTGAGCAAAGTAACATTTATGAAGGGATTCAGGGAAACCGGCAGGCCGGACTTGAGTCCTGGAGATGGGAAGTACAGTGCCTGCACTCTGAAGGAGGGGTGTTAATGTTGCAGTTTAAAAACTGTAGTGTAAAGCACCCTTCTGGCAAGACAGTGATGGAGTGAATGATGGTGAAAGTTTTTCTTTTTCGGGCCACCCTGCCTTGGTGGGAATCGGCCAGTGTGATAATAAAAAAAAAAAAAAAAAATGTAAAAAAAAAGTAGATCTACTTTTGGAGCACTATGAATTTGAACGTCAATCTGTTTGGACCGTTTAAGGGTTAAATTGATTTGCAGGCAGGGGCCCTTTAGTACGTTCTGGTAATGAACTCCAGATCTTCGGACCCTTTACATGCATAGCATTTTTGCATAGGGAGAGATGGACATGAGGGATGCCAAGAGTGTTTTATGCCTTGTGTTATGCCTGTGTGTTCTGTTGTAGTTATCAAGGAGGAGTTTGAGAGGAAGGTTTATAATGAAGTACAGTGGACCCCCGCATACCGTTGGCATCACATAACGATTAATCTGCGTACCGCTTGCTTTAATCGCAAAAATTTTGCCTCGCATACCGCTTAAAAACCCGCTCACCGATTTTCGTCCGAGACGCGTCCAATGTGCGCCCTCAGCCAGCCTCACATGTGCCGCCAGTGGCATTGTTTACCAGCCAGCCTCCGCGGTAACATCCAAGCATACAATCGGAATATTTCGTATTATTACAGTGTTTTCGGTGCTTTTTCTGGAAAATAAGTGACCATGGGCCCCAAGAAAGCTTCTAGTGCCAACCCTACAGCAATAAGGGTGAGAATTACAATAGAGATGAAGAAAGAGATCAATGATAAGTATGAAAGTGGAGTGCGTGGGCTCCGAGTGGCCAGGTTGTATAATAAACCCAATCAAAAATCGCTACTATTGGTGGTACAGCTGCTGCTGCACGTCAGCTGCTGCTGCTGCTGTAGCATCTCTGCTGCTGCTGTAGCATCGTCTGCTGCTTTCTGTAGCATCGTCTGCTGCTGCTGTAGCATCGTCTTCGCTGCTGTAGCACTGTCAGCTGCTGCTGCTGCTGTAGCATCGTCTGCTGCTGCTGTAGCATCGTCTGCTGCTGCTGTAGCATCGTCTGCTGCTGCTGCCGTGTAGCATCGTCTGCTGCTGCTGTAACATCGTCTGTTGCTGCTGTAGCATCGTCTGCTGCTGCTGTAGCATCGTCTGCTGCTGCTGTAGCATCGTCTGCTGCTGCTGCTGCTGCTGTAGCATCGTCTGCTGCTGCTGTAACATCGTCTGTTGCTGCTGTAGCATATCTGCTGCTGCTGTAGCATCGTCTGTTGCTGCTGTACCACCGTCAGCTGTGCTGCTGCTGTAGCACCGTGGTTGGGGTGGCTTATTGAGAATACCAAGAAACAATTAACCCCAGAGGAATTTGCCACCCAGGATAACCCAAAAAGTCATGTCATCGAAGACTGTCTAACTTATTTCCATTGGGGTCCTTAATCTTGTCTCCCAGGATGCAACCCACACAAGTCGACTAACACCCCGGTGAACAGGGAAAAATGCCCGGAACTAGTGCTCATATTGGTGAATTTAAAGCCAGCAAAGGTTGGTTTGAGAGATTTAAGAATCGTAGTGGCATAAAACCCGTGTGATAAGGCCTGTTCTGGAAGAAAATGCCAAACAGGACCTACAGTACTCAGGAGGAAAAGGCACTCCCAGGACACAGTCTCATCAGTCATTGCTGCATCTTCAATAAAGGTAA